AGAGACAGAGTCTATTGATGCGTGGTATGTTTGCAAATCTTCCAAAGTGAACAGCTGATGGGAAAATGTTTAGTCTTGCTAGCATAAAAGCCCTCCTTTTACTTGGATTAATTAATTTACTAAAATAGTTTGAGGGTCTACCGAGTGAAGGGGAAAGGCCGAAGAAGTGAGGGGAACAAATAGGATTTAAATTGGGGAGTAATAAATTGAGTTCCTGTTGCCAGAGTTTAGATTTGATGATTTGATGGGCTCTGTGAAGGGTGGTGTCTGAAAGTTAGTTTTGTTAGTTTGTTAGTTTTAAAAGTTAGTTAGTTTGTTAGTTTTAAAGTGGCACAAGACATTCTGTTGTTTTTGCTGCAACAGGCTAACAGTTACCTGTCAGACAATGGTCACATAACAACAACAACAACAACAATCATCATCATCATCAACAACAACAATAACAACAACATCATCATCATCATCATCACCATCATCATCATCCATGGGTACGAACCAGAAAACCAGTGGTTTGTGATAGTTTATGGTACATGGCTAACCATGAACCACCACGAATGCCTGGAAAAACAAACCAGTTTGAAGCCTTACCTGCTCCTGCCCTCTGCCTCCCCTTCCGACTACCACTGTTGCCTGCCACTACCTCCTCTGCTGTTGCCATCTTCAGAGGTAGCAGACCCAGTTTCCCTGCAGGGCTCATTGCCTCTGAGCATGCGCCTGCCACCCAGCTGATAGCTGGGCGCATGCGCGGAGGCAGTGGACCAGCTCCTGGCAGAGAAGCCAGGCCTGCTACCTCTGAGGATGATGGTGGAGGAAGAGGACGCAGCAGGAGCTGGTAGAGAGGGGCAGGTGGGCATCCCATTTTGCCGAAGCAAACAAAGCACCAATGGGGGAAAAGTTAGCTGGTTCATTTTGCTTTGGCACAGGAACAGGTGACTGAGGGGTGGGCAGGGGGCGAGTGGTTGAATGGGGTTATGGGTGGGTGGTGGGGTGAGCAGGTGAGCAGGGAGGCAAGCGAGCGATCAGGGTGGAAGAGTGAGCAGGCAAGTGGGCAGGGGCAGGCAGGTGGGGGAGCAAGCAAGGGGTTGGGCAAACGATTAGGTGGGGGCAAGTGATTGAATGGCTGCCAGTTTTTTTTTGGCAAGTGCGGTGCTTTTATTATTTTTATTAATTCCTGCTCTCTGGTGTAGCGCAGTATGTAGCAGGCAGGATGTTCACATAGGTGGAATTAGTTCCACATCCACCACAAAATAAACAGACCTCTGGTAGAGGAGCTGCTGCAGGTTGCACCGTGACAGCAGTGGTTCCCACAGTCCTTTTCTATTTGTGTCACTCCTTTCTTTTTGGGCATCTAATAAGACATGGGTGTATTTTCCACCAAAAAACCAGTTAAGCAAAAAGTTTATTCTGACTGGAAAAATGAGGCATTCTTAAGAAGCCACACCAAGCATGAGTGACTTAGACAGCTTAATGTTCCTGTTTATTAACTTGGTTGTTTTTATTGTCAATCCCATCAAATATTCTGCACTCGTGATGGAAAATTCCAGTGCTTGCAGCCATAATGGGATTTTTATCTTGAGCCAAAAGCTCTTGAAAATTACTTTTATTGATTTATTTCTATTTGCAGTGTTTGGATTAATACTAAACATTTTGAAAAAGAGCTTATAATGGTAAGACCTAGACCTAGAGACCAACTAAAAATACTGCCAAAAATCCAGCCAAACAAGCAACTGAAGTTTAACACCATGATGAAATATAATTGATTAAAAGCATCAGGTAGTCTCCCCACAATTGTATGTTTTAATGAAGAATTTTGTTACTGCTTTAACTTGAGAACAGGCTTCTTTTAATTTAAGACCTTGAGGTTAATCTCAAAGTACAATCTCTCTCTCTCTTTCTCTCTCTCTCTCTCTCTCTCTCTCTATCTCTCTCTCTCTGTGTGTGTGTGTGTGTGTGTGTTTGAGACCATCACTGTAGGTGATGTTTCAAAATGTTTTCCAATAGTGACATTGTGCTGTGGTTCCCATTCATGAATCCCCAGCTGTTCTTGGACTACAATGCCCAGAAGTCCTGGCCAACACAGCTAGTGATGAAGGCTTCTGGAATTTTTTGTCCTAGAACCGGCCGGGATCCAACGTTGGGAACCACTGCAGTACTGCCTCTCTTACATTAATTGTTTACCAATGCAATCATATGCCTGTTTAAAGTGAAGCCCACGGTGTTCAGTTAGGCCTAATAATAATTGTGTGCTGTCAAGTTGATTTTTAACTCAGAGTACCCATTTTTTTCAGGGTTTTCCAGGTAGAGGGTACTCAGAAGTGGTTTTACCCTTCCCTTCTTCTGGGGGCACTTCTGAGACTGTGCAGCTTGCCCAAGGCTTACACATCCTGGCTCTTTTCCCTGGAAGGCACACAGTGGGGAATAGCCAGATACCTAAACCACTGAGCTACCGAGACAGCCAGTTATGCCTAATCTCTAATAAATGTGTTCAGGACTGCACTCTCAGACGTAAGATTACCATTATTATTTTTAAAGCACACTAAGGCAGCCAGCATCATGCAGTTGATCATGCAGTTTACATTGCAATTGCATGGTCCATGTTGCAATTGTGCGATTGATTGCCCAGTTTGTGATCACGTGGTTCATTGTTATACTTTTCATGTTAACAGTTGCACAATCTGTTGCACAGTTCATGTTAGGGCTGTTGCGCAACATGTCTGCAAAAGTGCTTTGTGATTTTACTTTATCACTTCTGCCGCTTCCTGCTATGCCTGCATAGCTGCGCAACAGGATTTCAGCCGGTGAGAAAACTAGGAGGATAAACGCTCCCATGTTTCAGTATGTCTTCCTTTGAAATATGTAAGCTTTCCTGTTACTGCCTTCACTCTTTCTACCTCCAAAATCCAGTAGCTGTATGTCAAATTTTATTTTATTTTGGGTTTCCCCAGTTCCCTATATTGAATATGCCACTGTTGGAAAGTCCCTTTATGCTTATTTTGTGAGAAAGGAAACAGTTGCAACAATTCTCATGTGGAAAAAAATCTGCTCCAAATGGGAAGACTTTCTATACCCTTTCCCAAATATTTTCTATAGACGTTCCTGTTGTCTGGCTGTTATATTTAAACTCATTCTGTTTTTCAAGGCAAGGGAGCATGTTTTGAATGAGACTATGGCATCTGAGAGTTTAGCTAACTAAACTCTTGTCTTTGCTATGTAAGGAATAAATAGAAAGCATTTTCCTGGATCAGGAAACATGTGTTTAGAAACCAGTAGTGGAAGATGAAACCGTTTTTTTTACATAAGAGGCACTTTCTTCCTTCCCTTTCCTTTTCTTCTCCCTACAAGAAGGCTGAGCACACAGTGACATTTCAAATCATGGATGAGATTTTGTAAAAGAAAGAGACACTGAAGCTGGCATTCAAGCTTGAAAAGCTTTTCCTCCCAGCCTTTCTATATGGGCTATTGTGTTCACTGCATTCATATGCTGGGCTTGAATTAAACAGAATGGTATAGTTTGCTTTCTCAGACACAAAAAAAGGTGATGATCCTAGCTGAGCTGAAGGTCAGTCTCCATATCCCTTCTTCCATTGCCTTCAGTTTTAAATGGCCTCCTTTGTAATTTATTTTAATTTTTAATCTGTTTCTGCTGCGCCTTCCATAAGAAATTCCAACACAATCAAAGAACTGGTGGACTTTCCTTCCGGCTCGACTACTTTACTTTTCTGAATGAAAATTTCACAAATCATACCAAATTAGATGTCGGGTCATTTAGTGGAAATAGGCATACATTATCCTCCTTGAGAAATTTAAACTCCCCTCTGATAAAGCCACCACATTCTGTGGTTCACCTCAGAAAACATGTGTAATGAAAGCCATTTCTTCAGAAGTGCTAAACCTGTTTTCTAATTTGTCCGCATATTTCAGAATGAGAGCTGCATGTCAGGCTACTACAGTAAATTGAAATCGGGAGATTTGTGTTTCACTTTTGTTATCTGACTACCTGGGGGGATGTGGATGTTGTTCTGCCTCTTGCCCACTGGCCTCTCTAGATCCTTTTGCTTCTTCCCCTTGTCTAGCTGTTGGTAGAGAAATGAAAATTTGTTTGTTTGAAACATTGGTGTAGCCCCCAACATAGTGATGTGCAATACTCTGGGCAGTTAACAATAGATATAACCCCCATCTCACCCCCCAAAAGTCTCTGTCTTGTCATCTCCACAACAGAAATCCGTGGTGTTTTACAAGTGTTTTTAAAGCTTGAATGCCGTAGAGAAAGTGTTGGTGAATTGCTGGTAAATCACATGGTTCCACCCAAGCAAAACAACTGAACCAAAAAGAGCATCTGGAAACCTCCTTTCCCTCCTTTGTTAGGGTTGCTAGCTGACGAGGGGGTGGGGAAACTAGCCTGGCCTTTCCCTCCTTTGTTAGGGTTGCTAGCTGATGGGGGGGGGGGAACTAGCTTGGCTTGTTTCTGTTGTCCTCCATAGGAGCAGCTCAGTCTGCAGGTTAACCTTTTTGGAGTATGATCAATCTAACATCTGAAAATCAGATTGCTTATAAAGGCACAAGAGTATCAAGAGCCACTAGTCCATGTGGTTAATAACATTTGGGATTCAAACTTTACGCGGCTTTTCTAAAAGAAATTCCATCAAGTGTAAAGATGACTGTAACTTTAATCCACAGTCTTTAAAGTTTAATTCCTTGTAAACAGTTTCTTGAAGCATGGGTTACTCTAGAAAGAGAAATGTTAAAAGAAATTATATATTTTTAAAAGATAATTTGTTACCTTGTTTTTGCAATTCATTTTGAATTGTATTCACATCAGGCAGTTAATGGTAGGAAAGCATTGGAACTACTGTACTAAGGTAATATAACTTTTAAGTATGTATTTACATATTTATTCATTGTACCTTTCAGCTCTTATTCAGTTCAAGCTGGAGATGACTGAAATCAGTTCACAACTGAACATCAAGGAAAAGGTACATTCTCTAATTATTGTGCTATATTAGCTACATAGCAAGTGCATCCGCATATATTGGATATTTAACACGACCAACTTTCCCAAAACAATGAAGTACTTAATCAACTTTTTCAATATTAGCAGGCATCATCTGAGAAGTTATTACTTTGTTTTTCATTCCTGCTCAACACTTAACGTTAACAAATATTAGTTCTCAATATCTCAGGCAACCTTTTCCCTCTTTTTATGATCCAAATCTGTAATGACAGTCCTAGTTTGTCTGGATGATAAATGAACCTAACACCAACTCCATCACCAGATCCTGTAATACTGTTACCAAAGATCATATGGAGACACAGTTGGCAGATAATTAAATATTTTATTTTTCCTAAGTTCACATATATAAAATTTAATTCCCATGTTTCCTGAAAATAAGACAGGGTCTTACATTAATGTTTGCTCCAAGAAATGCAATAGGGCTTATTTTCAGGGGATGTTTTATTTTGCTCATATACAACAATCTACAGTGGTGCCTCGCGCAATGGTCGCTCCGTAGAGCGACGAATCCGTGCAACGATGCCCTTTTCGCGATTGCAAATGCGATCGCAAAACGGCACCTAGATAGGGGGAAAATCACAGAGTGAAGGTTGGTAAGCGGTTCGCTTACCGACCTTCGCTTTGTGACCCGCCCATCAGCTGTTAGGCGGGTCCAAAATGGCCACTGCGCGCCCCAAAATGGCCACGTGCAGCGTTTTCACACCCTCGTTCAGCGAGGGGAGGGCACGAAAATGGCTTCCTGGCCAAAGAGGAACATCGCACAACGATGAGTATTTCGCCGCATTGGAACGCATTAAACGCTGTTTAATGCGTTCCAATGGCTTTTTACTTTCCGTTGAGCGATGTTTCACACATTGAGGGTTAATCTGGAACGGATTAACCTCGCTGTGCGAGGCACCACTGTACATTTATTCAGATACAGTCATGTCATCTTCTCCTGGTTGCTGCACAATGGTGGAGGGCGGGGTTTCACTTAACTAGGGCTTATATTTTGGGTAGGGTTTATATTATGAGTATCTTGAAAAATCATACTAGGGTTTATTTTTCAGGTTAGGTCTTATTTTTGGGGCAACAGGGTAATTAATTAATTAATTAGTGCATAGCACTGTTTTGGGTGGTTAACAACATAATAATGAAACATCTAGAACAGAAATTTGAATCACGGGGTTTCACTTAACTAGGGCTTATATTTTGGGTAGGGTTTATATTATGAGTATCTTGAAAAATCATACTAGGGTTTATTTTTCAGGTTAGGTCTTATTTTTGGGGCAACAGGGTAATTAATTAATTAATTAGTGCATAGCACTGTTTTGGGTGGTTAACAACATAATAATGAAACATCTAGAACAGAAATTTGAATCACGAATCAAGTCATAATAATAAAACATCTAGAACAGAAATTTGAATCAACTCATGAATCAAGTGAAAACAAATACCACTAAAAATAGAAGAGGCATATTCTCTAAATGTGGGAACAGGATAGGGGTCATAAGATCAGGGTGGATTGCATATAAAGGTTTTATGTAAAGAAAAATCGTCAGAAGCCTTTTGAATGTTAGGAGGGTTGGGGTCAGGTGCTGTTCCATTTGGGACTGATTCCAAAGTGTAGGTGCCACTATCAAGAAAGCCCAGCCCCTTTGTAGCTGGTTTCCTGCCCTCTCTTGGAGTGGCCATCTGGAGAAGCAAGGCCAGGGATGATCTGATGGGACCAAGGGAGCTACAGCAAGAGCTACTAATTGTGGGGGTCTAACCTACCTTTTTAATGGTATTCTCCCCTTACTTTTTCTTCCTGGAACAGAGAATATGCCACCTGCTACATAGAATTGGACAGCAAACGGCCCCCTCCCCCACTAATCCTAGTTAGGATAACCAGTGATGGAGCATCATGGAGTTGGCAGCCCATCAACAACCAGAGAGCCACCAGATGCCCATCCCTGTTGTCTGCCAACTGTAATCATGCCTTCATCAGTCTCCAGTTGCTGTCTATGGTGGTAGCCACATTACGTCAGTGATCTCTGATATAGGTTATCACAAATCACAACCTGGAAAAAAAATTTCCTGAAAGTTTGATAAGATCTTCCAGATGCACTTCGTTTCACCTGACAATCAGACTTTGTGCAACATGTTAAAAAAAAGAAAAAGCCTAATGGCCTATACAGGTGGGCAGCTCAAGGAAGGCAAAATAACAGAGCCTGGGCCACATACCATTTTGCTGAAATTTTAAATCATTAAAATGCTGCTTAATAAAACTTGAAATGTCAAAAGCATCTCCAGGCTGGACGAAGTACGTAATATATTAGCAACCGTGTTTACTTTTGTCTGGGAATTAGTTCAGGCTTAACAAACAGTCTGTGAGATGCAAAATAAATAGAAATGTCAGTACGGAGTTTGTGGGTGAGGGTAGAGTGGCTGCCAAGAGAGAAAGACACGGCATCTAAATCAACACCAAGAACCACGTCAGAAATCCACCAGAAAGTTCAACGCAGCAGCGAAGGATGCTTTGCGGCTCTAGTTGTTCTTGAACTGCAGCTGCCGGCAGCCTCACTGAATGGAGCCACTGAGGAAAAGTTTATGGGAGCGGCGGTCCAATACCATCTGGAGGGCCTATCTATGCCGGCTTTAAAGACTGAGTCAACTTTATTTGGTATTTGAAAGTTTGAGGCATGGCCATACTGATGATGTACAAACAGGGCTATTGGAAATTTGAAAACCTTTTGTATATATTTTTTAAAATCTAAACTCAAGATTCCTGTGTTCCTCTCTCTTATTTGTAGATCAATGCAGTCAGATCAATTGTTCCCAACAGAAGCAACAATGAAATAGTGCTGGTGCTCCAACAGTTTGATAACAATGTAGACAAGGCTGTGCAAGCTTTTATGGATGGTTTGTACCCTTTTTATATTTTGCTGATGCTTAGAAAAATAATGCCAAACCTCTCGAATAAATGAATTTAATTGAAATTCATGATTCTGAAATGCTGAAATTTGGAATAATTGCTAATGTGAATATTTAGCATTTCCTGAAGTTATGATTAAGTCCTCACTAGCATCCTCAGAGGTTTCCTGTCCACCTGTTTAGGTACCTATCATGTGTAGCTACCACCAGCTAGCACTGTATACAGTGGTGTGTAGCTTGACGACGTTAATTTGTTCCAGCGAAATTGCTCTAGAGTGAAAACGTTGTCAAACGAAATTAAAAAACCCATTGAAACACATTGAAAACCGTTCAATGCATTCCAATGGACTGAATACCTGCTCGTCCAGCGAAGATCCTCCATATGGTGGCCATTTTCGGTGCCTGTATAGCGAGGAATCCATCCTAGAAAACAGCGGGGGGCTATTTTGAAAGCCGGTGGCCATTTTGAAACCCAACGATCAGCTGTTTGCTGATCATAGTAAAGTGAAACATTGGTTCCTGAAACAGGGAACTGATCAACGTGAAGCAAAAAGCCCAATCTAAACATCGTTTTGCGATCGCGAAAACTTCAACGTTAAGCGGGCTAATCGTCCAGCGGGGCACGTCTGTATATACCACACACAGTTTTGGACATTATTGTAAAGAAGCTGTAAGCAGTAGAGAAACCAAAACTAGATGGCAAATGTTACAAGACTACTATAGGGACCTGTTCTGCCCAGCATGGCTCTTCTGCCTGGTCTCCTCATTTTCTTTTCTCTTGCTTGTTCTGCTCCTTTTCTTGCCAAAGGCAGTTCCATGGTTTTTTATGACAAATAAGGGAACCAGGTACACCCAAGTGTTTTTTTGCAGCAAACATGTAAGGCTGCGGTTGAAGAAGTTTTTTGGAGCTTAGTTCACACCCAATTAAGCTTTCTTGGTAACTCCTGGGCCAGTTGATGGCAGGATGGAGGAGAGTGGCTTACTCCTAAGAGTTGAGAGCCTGTTTGGAATAACCTTGGAGGAGATAATGGAGGCTATAGCAAGGTATGTAAATTGGGATAAATTGGGAATAGGGTGTTTTGCAAAAGCAGATGCTTTTTTGCGTCCATCAATTACCTTGGGATCCAACTTACAAAGATGGATCAGATGTCATAGATGTTGCCTACACTTTGCTATGGGAAATGGGAGTGTACACAAAGCACACACACTAGTTGTGTCAAGTGTCATTTCTTTTTTATGACACGTTTGGAATAATTTTTTGCTCAGTGAAATGAAAAGTGAACTTTGGGTCATGTGAAGAATTGTTACATAGGCTAATGTCACACTGGTGACATGGAACCCATGGGTTGCAACATACTTCCTCTTCCTGCCCTTTGAGTTGCCGGAAAACTGGCCTCAAGGACTCCAATGAGAGCAGATCACTGCCTCCCAATTCCACAGCAGACTGATGTTCAGCCAGGAGACATCTGGTGTTGGATCATGCCACGATTCAACAGCTATTCCTCTCTTTTGTGCTACCTCAGGAAATACATCTACAGTGGTGCCTTGCTTAGCGATGTTAATTTGTTCCGAAAAAATCACTGCTAAACGAAAACATCGCTAAGCGAAATAAAAAAGCCCATAGAAACGCATTAAAACACGATTAATGCGTTCCTATGGGCTTAAAACTCAGCTTTAAGCGAAGATCCTCCATAGCGGCGCCATTTCCGGTGCCGCTAAAGCGAGGAATCCGTCCCAGATCGAAGATCCTCCACATTTTGTTTACCCGGTGGCCATTTTGAAACCGCCGAACAGCTGTGTAAAAATGGGGGCTTTGCGATGATCGCTTCCCTGCGATCATTGCAAAGCAAAAATACCCCATAGGGACCATCGCAAAGCGATCGCTTTTGCAATTGCAAAAAATGCGTCGCAAAGCGATTTCATCGCTATACGGAGTGATCGCTATGCGAGGCACCACTGTATTGTTTATTATACTTTCCCACAAGATCGTATTAGTGGCAATATATTAACTAACGTAGACTTAAATTTGAACTTTATTGTCCTTGGTTTGAAGTTGGATGGTTTAAAAAACATACAAACCTTTCATTCCTTCAAATTATAATTCCTCTCTCTTTTTTTTGGTTGGAGAAAAAAATGTAAATTGAAATGCCAAGTACTATTCGCTGAAGTCTCCTTTTTAATGGATGTCAGGCACTGATTCCCACCAGAGAAAGAGCAGTGAATAATAGGCACAAGCAGTCCTGAGAGCTTCAATTGTAAACACCTCACAAAGACCTTATCTTTCCTGACAGACCAAATCAAAGTGATTAGAAACTCACTCAGACCAATTCAGAGGGCTGAAGACTGATAGAGTGTGAATAACATTCTTTAGCTGAAACTGTAGTATTGGTGGGGTTTGCGTCTCAAAGGCCTGTTCCTTTGATTGGTGACAAATCCTCTGCGCTGTTTTCCCACAGACAGAGGAAATCCTGTTAAAAACCCCAGGAGACCCAGAAAACCTACTTTTAAGACTTAATTTCAGAGCCTTACACTGTTGTGAAGTAAGTAGAATTTCCTTGGGTGGTCAACATAGGCTGAGTGTAGTATACTTTGCAATAACACTGCCTCTGTAATTAGCACCATGCAATAGATACTCTGCATAAAACCTACCTTTCATTTTAAAGAAAGTTATATTTCTCCTTGCCTCTGAATAATAATAGAAGAGACCTAGATTTGTAAGGCTAATCTCCACTTTGGCAGCCATTGTATACTTATTTGTGCTTATACTATGGCTCCTCCTGACATTTTCACCATATTATCTCTAGGTTTGGGAAAGAGGTTCATAGAGTAAATTGTATGTGCACTTTTGAATCAATATTTGAAGAGAAACTCAGTTATCCTTAAAAATTCTGACTTATCCATATTTTGCAATGTAGTTTTCCAGTAAAAGCTTCACACAAAAATGTGCACATTAGGAAAATGGGCACATGGAAATACGTACAGTGGTGCCTCGCTTAACGGGCACCCCGTTTGATGAAATCACATAGCGATTAACTTTTTGTGATCGCTTTGCAATGTTCCCTATGGGGAAAAATCGCTTTGCGATGATCGGTACCCTATTTCGCTTATCGATCATCACAAAGCGAGGATTTTTTAACAGCTGATTGGTGGTTCCAAAATGGCCGCTGGGTTAAAAAAATGCCCACCCGCTGTGTTTAGGGACGGATTCCTCACTTACCGGGCAGTGAAAATGTCCGCCGTATGGAGGATTTTCGCTTAAAGGTGAGTCTGAAGCCCATAGGAACGCATTAAAGGGGTTTCAATGCATTCCTATGGCCTTTTTAATTTTGCATAGCGACGACGGATTATCGTTGCTATGCGAGGCACCACTGTATATGCATGATGATTCATTGGTTTAAAAGGTTTTATACTAGAAAGCATGCATTCAAAAATGTAATTTTGGCAAAATTGCATACAAAGGCTGAAGCTTTGTTGCTTAGCATAGTATGTTGCACTAGAATAGACTCATTGAATCAATGTGGATTTGATAAGCCAATTCCTCTGTGATTTCTATTGATTCAAATGGCCCTATTCTATGACATGCCAAGTAAGTCACCACTATAGTAGGCCGATTTGAATCAGAAATTACATAGGAGTTGATTCACCAAATCCCTACTGATTAATGGGCCTACTCTAGTGCAACTTTCTATGCTAAATATCAGGATTTCAACCCAAATGGAATAATGTGGTATTTTGAAGAGTAACCAAGGGCAAACATGCAGAAATATGTTGAAGTTTTAATACAAACTTTTAAAGAAATCTGTTAAGTTCTCTTAAATTCTGGATAATCCAAACATTAAATAAGTATCCAAGTTTGAGACAAATTTAAATTTAAAGTGGAAAAATGAAATACCGAGAAAAACCAAAAGCAACACATCTGTTGCTCTCTAGTTGCATTGCATCTATTAGTCATTGTTCATGTCATACCATTATTCCCCAGCGAGATTCGTCTGGCCCCCTTGCTGGACATTTTCAAAAAACAACTCAAGACCTGGTTATATAGACAGGCCTTCCCTCCAGACTATACGTAATTCTCTTTATCTCTTTATTTATTCTGTTTTGAGTTAATGTCGGGAACCGTTACCTTATATTGATTGTTCTTATTATGTGTTTGTGAGCCGCCTAGAGTAGACTATGTCTAAATGGGCGGCATATAAGCTAAATAAATAAATAATAAAGAGAATTGTGAGGAGTCTTGATTTTCTCCTGCTGGTAGGAACATCCTCTAAATGCAGTTTTGCATGAACTCTCCTGCCAACAGATTTCCCCTTTCCTTTGCAAGAAATTTGATCTAGATAATATGTGGTCAGAGGACTTCCCAGGGAGCCAGATTCAGAGCACTGAATCTTTAAAATGTTTTTAGTTTTTTTGTATTGAAGTTTGTATTGAATCCACAAGGTTACAGAAGCCGCTCAATAGGAACCTTTGAAATGGTGATTCCATAGGGAAAAACATCATCTCATAAAAGTCCTCGCTCTTCATGGTTATTGTCAGCCTGGTGACTAAACACTAGTGACCAAACTGTCTCAAAAGGCAAAGTATAGCCAAAGTGAGGAACGGAGTGACAATTGCTCAGTTTTACGGGGAAAATTTAACCAACAGTTTGCATTCTGTACTTAGCTAAACTGCTAAGCTGCTGTTTGATTAAAACTGTCTGCAAACTCATGAGCCATTGTGTTTTGAGGCAGAGAAATGCCAGAAAACAGTATACTCCCCCATAAGGGCACATTGGTCAAAGGAAAGAAATAAATTCAGAAAATTGTCACCAAGCTCAGGATTATTCTGGACTCAGTGTTAACTTTTTCTCAGACATGAACATTTTAAAAGTGTTTCATCTCTCTCTCTCTTTTCTCTCTTTTTACTCTAGGGAGTGCACTTCAAGTTCTAAAAGAATGGAATATGACAGGGAAAAAGAAAGTAAGGCATTCTGAGTAAGCGTTAAGCTATTAAAACCATTTATATGAGTGTACCTGGCCAGAGCATATTAGCAGCATCATTGCTGTCAGATGTTTTGCTTGATTTTTGTTTGTTCTTTCCAGTGGCAAATAGTTTATTCTAAGCCTCCATTCAAAAGACCTCAGATCAGATTATGTGCTTCTATTTTCAATCCCACTCTGCTGGTTTTGCATCCACAGATTGAGTTGCTAACCTGACAGAATGTTCAGGATAATTAAAGTATTACTATGGAGATCACAAAAGTTTTATTCAAGATGCAACAAAGGAACTTTAATAGGCATGAACTTTTCCACTGGGAACTGAACCTTGAAGGAGAAAAGGAAGTACTCCTTCATATCAAGTGTAATTACCTTACAGGTCTCACTACAGCAATATGCAGTTACGACTAGAGATGGGCACAAAGTACTTTGTGCCCCTTCATCATAAGTTTGTTTGCAAGGCAGCACAGCTGATGTTCCCTTTCCCCACCCACCTCTCACTGGCACTTCCACTGACCTGCTGGCACATATTGCTCCTTCCCTACCTGTCGCATGATCTTCCAGTCTGAGCAGGACCCTGGACTTCCCTTCTCTACCTCCTCCAGCAGGTGCCCACTCAAAGGCAGCACTGCAGAAATCCCTGCCCAGCCTCCTTGTCTGAGTGGACAGCTGCTGGAGGAGGCAGAGAAGGGATGTCCAGGCTTCTGCTCAGAGTTGACGATCATGTGACGGGTAGTGGAGGAGGCAGAGAAGGGAAGTCCAGGCTTCTGCTCAGGGTGGAAGATCATGCAACGGGTATGGAAGGAGCAACATGTGCCAGTGGAGGTGTTGGAGAGGGGAGGTGGGGGAAGGGAATGTGTGGCAGCTATGACAAAGGGGCACAAAGTATTTCGTGTCAATTTCTGGTTATGGTCAACAGTTAAGGCAAAGCAAGACATGACCCTGAAAACCCATTACACGGAGCTTCCATCATTTTGTTGTGTTGTGTTTTTAAATTTTCTTCATTTAAGATAATTTTACCCCACCATTCTCCTTAGAAAGGACCCAAGGTGGTTTACATCATTAAAAGGCAGTATTTAAAGCTAACTGTGATTATACAAATACAAAAGTATTAAACAAACACCATATGAAAATACATTAATAACTCCTTCCTCCAGAGGAGACATTTAGCTGAAGAGATTACTGGGAACACTGTTTGCTTCTCTCTATGAGATGCTGATGTTCCTCTGCCTGCTTCCCACCCCCTACCCCCACCCCCATTCTTGGCCTCCTAAGTGGTCACAGGACTCTCCAGTTTCATTCTTTATGGAAAGGCGGCAACTTTCTTGCTATCTCGTATAGAGTTCTAGATGTTGAGTCAGGAAGATGGAATATACACAAGGCAGCTGGTTTACATGGGGAAAAGAACCATGCTATTGCAGCTGAACTGAAGATCAATAAGCAGAAGTGAGTTCTTTTGCCATTTTCTATTATTATAGGATGTCCAAACTGTGTCTGTGAACTGACACAGGACAGTAGCTGTCTGCCTTCATTTCATATCTCATTTGGCTCAAAGTTTCACCTTGTTTCTGGAAAGAATTGT